CGCTGGCGCGCTGGGCAGCGGGGCGCGCTGGCGCGCTGGGCAGCGGGACGAGCTGGCGCAATGGGAAGCGGGGCGCGCTTGCGCGTTGGGCAGCGGGGCGCGTTGGCGCGCTGGGCAGCGGGGCGTGCTGGCGCGCTGGGCAGTGGGGCGTGCTGACGAGCTGGGTAGCGGGGCGCGCTGGCGCGCTGGGCAGCAGGGCGCTCTGGCGCGCAGGGCAGCAGGGCGCACTGGCGTGCTGGGCAGCATGGCGCACTGGCGCACTAGGCAGCAGGGCGCGAGAGGCATGCGGGGGCGCGAGAGGCATGCGGGGGCGCGAGAGGCATGCGGTGGCGCACGAGCGCGTGTGGAGGCACGCGGGGCAGTTCACACATCCGCGGGTAGGGCAGTAACTGGGCAGGGCAGGACGAATGGTGGGCCCTAAAAAAAAACGGTCCTGTGGAGCGAACCGCTCTGAAACCATGTCAGAACCAACGAGCATGAATGATTGAGTAGCATGAGGAATGAGTACAAGTACTAGGTCTAACCCTAAAGTGTTGTACTCAGTAGAGGCTACCCCGCTATAGCCTGCAGACATACAAACAAAGTTTGACAGAAGTCCATTGTTACTTGCTGGTAGGTGCACTCGGGCGACGGAATCAGCTCCTGTTGACCTGCGTTTTTCTTGCGCGAGCATTTTATCACTTGGTGATGTCTGTCGGTCAGTAGCTCAGGCCAGTGATAAAACCGATGTTGTTGCTGTCGAGTGATAAATCCTAAGCCTGAAAGTGACCCGAGGTAATCCCATCGTGTGCCTCTTGTAGTAACAATTCTGTAGCAGTGAGTACGCTGGTACCCATTTACGTAATAAACTCCCTTAGCTGCCACAAATTACCAGCGGTACTGGAGGAGCTGGAGCTATAGGTGCTGGAGGTACTGGAGGTACTGGAGGTACTGGAGGTACTGGAGCTAATGGTGCTAGAGGTGCTGGAGCTGCAGGTACTGGAGGTACTGGAGCTGCTGGTGCTAGAGGTGCTAGAGCTGGTGGTGCTGGAGGTACTGGTGCTGGAGGAGCTGGAGCTATAGGTGCTGGAGGTACTGTAGGTACTGGAGGTACTGGAGGTACTTGAGCTAATGGTGCTAGAGGTGCTAGAGCTGCAGGTACTGGAGGTTCTGGAGCTGCTGGTGCTCAGAGGTGCTAGAGCTGGTGGTGCTGGAGGTACTGGTACTGCGCACGCCGACCGTTTTCCTACTCGCACCTGCAGTCGTCCCTGCAACCGCCTGACTCGGCACTTCGTAAAGTTCTTAGTCTTCCGTTCTTCCAATGGCCTTACTCCGCCTCTCCTGTGTCCTCCGCCTGACCAGTCACAGCCACCGTTGCTGCCTGGCTCCCCCACTGCCTGCTCCGTCCTCTTATCCTGCGCAAAAAGGCTCCCTGGCAGAGCGTTGTGAAGCCTGAGTCTTGTCAGAAACAAGAAGTGATTGAACTAGGAAGAGTGGTGGTACAAGTATGAAACCCTAAAGTATTGTACCCCCTAAAGGCTAACCCACTGTAGCCTACACAGCAATAACATATATAATGTTTGACACACCCCCATAGGCTAAGTGGGGTAGAGCAAGGAGTCACAAGACCAGTCAAGAAAGAAATCGCAAGCTCAGGGTGGATGACAAAGTCACCACACACTCTGAGCACAAGCAAAGAGCCACAAGGCCGGTTCACATGCAGAGGCATATATGCAACACAAACATCACAGTGATCTCTACCTAGCAATGCAAGCATGCAGGTAATATATATATAGATCAAAGTACAGGCAAAGTCTACAGCAAGTGAGGAAAAGTGGGCACAAGTCCTAACAGAGTGCAGAAACGCTGATGATCACCAGACTGAAGTGCCTTGGTGAATATATCTGTAGTGTTGGCCTGACTGGCCACGTAACGCAGACGAAGCTGACCACGCTGCTGCAACTCTCGAGCCAGGAAGTAACGTAGAGCGATGTGCTTCGTACTGTGCTCCAGTCTGTGCTCCTCACACAAGGCCAATGGCAGCCTTGTTGCGACGTACAACACTGGAGGAGAACGAGGCTGCTCTCCAAGGTCGTGTCAGCAGGTAGGTGAGCCAGCGTAACTCCAGTGCAGCCATGGCTGTGGCGTAGATCTCAGCCTCAAAACTGGAGCTGAGAACTGAAGACGAACGCGTAGAACGCCACGAAACTGAGCCAGAGCCAAGACTGAAGGTGTAACCCTGTGACGACCGCTGAGTAGCCTGGACATCAACCCAAGAAGCGTCTGAGTGCCCAGTGAGAACAACTGAGCTCCTCCCTCCAAGCACGAGCCCCATGCCCGACGTACTGCACAAGTAGCGCAATACTCTCTTTGCAGCATCCCCAGTGCACCTTTCGGTGCCCACCAGGAGCCACATAGCGGGCCAGAAGTCCAAGAGGGTACGCGAGGTCAGGACGAGTGCAAGTCATCAGGTACATGAGGCAGCCAACTAGCTCTGGGTAAGGACCACTCGGCTCTACGGACTCATCCGAAGGCAGAGCTGAGAGCGAGTGACCTGTAGCCAGAGGAGTGGCCTGTGCCGAGGACCAGGTGAAGCCGAAGCGCTGAAGGACCTACTGCACCATGTGTGACTGAGTCAGTGAGATGGTGCGGCGTGCTTTGTCCCGGGTGATCTGCAAGCCAAGGTAGCTGCGCAGTTCACCCAGATCTGTGCACGTGTGTCTCTTCTGCAGCTCCGACTTCACGTGGGCGAGAGCCTCAGTGTCAGCAGTGGCAAAGACCAAGTCGTCGACGTACACGAGGATGTAGAACGGCGGCAGCGAAGTGTCGGTGCGCAGAAACAGCGACGGGTCAGCAGTAGAAGGCGCGAACCCAAGAGCCGCAAGAGTAGTCCTCAGTGTGTCGTGCCACTCACGTGGCGCCTGGCGGAGGACCGTAGACCGGCCGCCGGAGGCTCCACTGGGTACCAGGAGGAAACGACCCAGTGAAGCCAGGAGGGCGGCGCAGCCAGATCTCCTCGTGCAGGCTGCCCTGCAAGAAAGCTGTGCTGAAGTCAAGAGAGTGAAGCTCGTAGTCACGCTGAGCGGCAACGTGCAGTACCACTCGAAGAGTGGTCATCTTCGGGGTGGGCGAGAAGGTCTGAAAGAAGTATACTCCCTCTCGCTGACTGAAGCCTCGAGCAACGTAACGAGCCTTGAAGACAGGCGGAGAACCTGGCGGCCACTTCACCCTGAAAATCCACATGCCACTGACGATGTTCGCCCCAGGAGGGGGAACCTCGTTGACGTAAGTGCCAGTGGACTTCCAGGATGCCATCTCTGCGTCCATGGCTGACTGCCACTGAGAGGAGTACTCACCCGCGATCGCCTCAGCGTACGAGCGCGGGGTCGGGATGTCTGGAGCATCCGGGTCTCCCTCAGGGGCAAGCAGCATGGACACGAGATGAGGCGCAACGGCTGCAAGACACTCAAGGTCCTCCTGTCTGTCCTCAAGGACGTCCGTGCCTAGAGCACACTCACCCCCGACGGACGGAGGACAGACAGACTCAGACTCAGCAACAAGACTCGCGGCGTAGTCTAGACGACAGCGAGCAGCAAAGTCGATAAGCTCAGCAATTAGGGCAGACGCAGCAGCAGACTCAAGGAAGGGTCAGTGACAGCAGTGGCCACGAGACGCGTGACAGTAGGACTAGCAGCACGAAGAGAGTCAGACTCCGGGTCAGCAAGGGCAGGAAGAGAGGACGCAGGAGGAGAAGGCAGAGGGACACGCTGCGGAGCAGTGGAAAGACAAAGCGTCATCTGGTGAGTGCCTGGGACAGCAGGAGGACGCTGACACGGGACACGAACAGGCGACGCAGAACGAGACTCAGGCGACACAGGACGAGACTCAGGCTCACGACGCTCCGTAAGACCTCCTGTCGGACCAGTGTAGGGAGAAGGACCAGGGAGGGGCGAGGCAGGCTGTAACTATAACTGCGACTGGACAGGCTGAGGACACTCTAAGAAGGGAGCAGGACAAGGAGGAGGAGGCTGACCAATAACCTGCTGAAGGAGCGGAACGAAGTACGGCCGCGGCCGTGAAGCGCCCCCAGAACCAGCAGAGACAGCAGCTGAACCCCCAGCAGCAGCTCCAACTCCCGTAGCACTACCAGCAGCTCCAGCAGCGCCAACTCCAGTACCCCCAGTAGTACCAGCTCCAGCCGCACCGTCGGCTCCAGCACCTGCAGGACCAACCCCAGGGTCAGCAGCTACACCAACTCCAGTAGGCCCAGCGTCCTCAGCTCCACCGGCAGCTCCAGCAGCGCCAGCACCTGTAACTCCAACTCCCGCACCAGTAGCACCTCCAGTAGCACCAGCTCCAGTAGCTCCAGCTCCAGCAGCACCCCCAGTCCCAGCAGCTCCAGTACCGCCTGTACGAGCACCTCCAGGACCTGAGGCTCCAGGACCTCCAGCAGCACCAGGGCCTCCAGTGGGCGGCACCCCAGTGCCAGGGGCGCCGCTCCGGAGGCCGAAGCGCCGAGCGTACCACTCACGTAGTCGCTGTGGGGAGGGAGGCGACGGCTGTGACCCAGCACCCGTAGCACCACCAGCTCCAACTCCAGCAGAACCCCCAGCTCCCGCAGCCCCACGCCGGAGGCTGTAACGCTGAGAGTACCACTCACGCAGCTGCTGTGAAGAGGGAGCGTCACCAGGCGCTAGCACCCCCAGGCTCAGCACCCCCAGGCTCAGCACCCCCAGGCTCAGCACCCCCAGGCTCAGCACCCCCAGGCTCAGTACCCCCAGGCTCAGCACCCCCAGTCTCAGCACCCCCAGTCTCAGTACCCCCAGTCTCAGCACCCCTAGGCTCAGCATCCTCAGTCTCAGTACCCCTCGCAGGACCAGAGTCGACAGCTACCTCGACTGGCTCGACCGGGTCTACCTGGGAAACACCTGAGGGAGCAGGACCCTGGGGAGGGAGGGGATCTACCGAAGCAGCACCTGGAGTGAGGAAGAGCGGCGGGGGGGGGGGAGCGGCGCAGTGTGCTAGGGGAACAGAAGGTAAAAGGGTACCGACTCATCAAAAGTGACGTCCTGAGAGGGGAAGACACGCCGCGAGGTGGGGTGGTAAAACTGCCAGCCAGGCGCGTCAGGGACAAAGCCTAGAAAGACGCAGGGAACGACACGGGAGGAGAGCTTGTCCGCGGACGTATCACGGACAAAGGCTCGACATCCCCAGACTCGGAACACCGACGCATCGCCAACCTTCCCCGTCCAACGCATTGTGGGCGAGGTCTCCGGAAGCAGAGACACGGGGCCAGAGGTTGAGCTGATGCGCAGCGTACTGAACTGCAAACGGCCACAGAAAATGGGGGGCAGCCGCATGGATCATGGAGGTACGAGCGACCTCCATGACTAAGCCGATGCGGCGCTCAGCAATCCCATTCTGCTGTGGAGAGGCCGGAAGACGTGAACGTCTGGCGGATGCCGTGCTCCGCACAGTAGGCTGCCAAGAGGCTCACCACCCCGGTCAGAGTGCAGACGCAGGACAGGAAAATCCGACTGGAATCGCTCGCGGAGCTGGAGGACGAACAGCGCGGATCCATGGGATCAAAACATCAGGGACCTCTCCCTTGGTGCGCAAGGGGAAGACCGTGGTGTAGCACGTGTAGTCGTCGACGACCAGCAGGAAGTACCGCTCGTGGCCCTGTCCACGGACGCGGGCTGGGCTCCACACGTCCAGGTGGAGAGTCTGCAGAGGAGCCTCTGTGGGAGGAAACGAGGAGGAGTGAGGAGTGGCGCGCTGCCGCCCCTCGACACAGGGAAGACAGGGAGGAGCAGGCGAGGGTGGGAGAGGAGGGAGAACCCTGGGAAGACCAGAGACAAGGTACCGGGAGTGCATGCCACGAAGGCGCTGCACTGAAGGGTGACAAAGGCGGTGGTGCCAGAGGACCGTCTGGTGCGACAGGGTACGACACGAGCAGGGGGCCGACAGCTGACCTGACGCAGACACAGACGCAGCTACCTGAGGGGACTCAGTGGTCAGTGTGTATAGGTCCGACCCCGGCCGCCGAGTAAAGGTAGCCAGGGTGGCGACCCGACCGAGCACACGTGCAGTGGGTCATACGCTCATTGGCAGGGGTGAACTGGTGAACACCCCCGTCCTGGAGAGCAGAGCCCGCCACCAAGTTCGTAGAGAATGAGGGGAGGTAAAGACCCGACAGGGTGCCGGCCGGAACCGCCGGACAAGGGAGGACAGTGGAGGAGGTCGCAAGGACTGGACCCCTAGAGGGGTCAGCGAGAGAGACAGCAACTGGTCGAGCTAGCGGCTCAAGGACAGTGCGGTCACGAAAGAAGCAGCGGGAAGCACCTGACTCCAGTGTGAAGGTGTGCAGTGCCTCAGTAGACGCAGTACCAGCAGGCGCAGACTCACAAGCACCTGGAGCAGCAGACTCACTGGCACCTAGAGCAGCAGCCTCACCAGGACGTAGGGCAGCAGACGCACTAGCACCTAGAGCGGCAGTCTCACTGGTCCCTATACCCGGGTCGGGCGGTACCCTCAAGTAGCAGTCACCCTCAACACTAATAGTCAATGCATACATAGCACCAAGAATAGCATCATAATCAAGAGCAAAGATATCAATTCCTTTCTTAAGCAGATCAGCCCAGCGAGGCAACTCAGCGGCATCAGGAAACTGCTCGCGCCAGGCGTCGTCGAGTCGAAAGAAGCAGCGCTGCGCCGTGTGGAACCTCCCACAGGTTTGGCCAGTGCGGTCACCTGTGCGGATGACGTACGGGCAGGTACCTTCACCCCCAGACCCCCCACGCTGAGAGTACCACTCTCAGAGCTGCTGAGGCGAAGGAGTCTCGCCGGGACACTGCTGCTGCTGCCTCTGGCCACCGCCGAACCCCCCACGCTGCACTGCTCCGCCGCGCCCGCCACCTGCTCCACCGCCGCCACCACTGCCACCACCACCCCCGCCACCTCCGCCGCCTCCACCCCCTGCCCCGCCACTGACCCCCCCACCACCAGCGCTACTCCCACCACCGCCACCACCCCCGCCCCCTCCACCCCCTCCACTGCCGCCGCCCCCGCCGCCACCTCCGCCACCCCTGCCCCCCTTGCCCCTGCCGCCCTTGCGCCTCCCACTGGGAGCAGACGCAGCCCCGACCCCCCTCAGCACCGAGGAAGTCGACAGCAGCAGCAGATGCAATGGAGGGGAGGAGGGGGGAGGGGGAGCACCCCTCAAAGAAGGGAGTGTGAGGGTCGCCACGAGAGGCACCTACAGCTACAATGCTCTTCTCAGCTGCGAGGAGTTCCTTCTCGAGCAGGTCAACAGTGAGGTCGGTAGGGGAGAGGGCGAGAAAGTGGTCCCTGACAGTGCGAAGGGAGTCAGGGAGGCGGGTGACCAGGTGATAGAGTGTGAGGTACATCGGGGAGGGTTCTTGGCTAGGAAATCGGGGGGAAGCGCGGCACGGTAGCGAAGATCACAAGTACGAAGTTTTGTGATGAGGTCAGCTACAGTGGCAAAGGCAGACAGATCGGGGAAGAGATAGGGCAGTGAGAGACGGCCTATCACAGCAGTGGCAGGGGAGGAGTAGCGTGCAACTACAGCGTCGTACAGCTCCTTAGCGGTTTTATGCTGGCCAAAGTGCTCGCGCTCATCTAGCGGTAGGTGGCTGCGAACGGCTAGGCGAGCATGAGCGTCACGGGTCTGCCACTGTGATCGAGCAGTGCTGTCAGCAGTAGCAGCAGGCGCAGGAGCGGCGCCGGACGTGTGGTAAAAAAGGGAAACATCGTCCTTGGCAGTGATCTGGAGGAACAGGTGCAGGTCATCGAGCCAAACGTCAAACTTAATCGGACGGCCCTCAGAGTCAAACGTGAGAACGGTAGGACTAGCCATAGTGGCAGTAGCAGTAGCAGTAGTAGCAGTAGCAGCAGTAGTAGCAGTAGCAGAAGTAACAGATGAAGTAGTAGGAGCAGGAGGGGCAGTAAGAGCAGTTGCTGCAAGTAGGGCGGCGCGGTTCGGTCAGGGCGGCGCGACTCGGGCGGCTAGACTCGGGCGGCGCGACTCGGGCGGCGCGGCTCGGGCGGCGCGGCTCGGGTAGGTAAGGCGGCGCGACGGCGCGCCTATGCTCGGTGCGCGGGCGGCGCCTAGGGTGCGGCTGCACGCGGGCCGTGGCTGCGTTCGTGCGGCGGCTAAGCGCTAGCAGCAGCAGCCGACGCGCGATCGCCGCTGCGCGCTGGCTGCGTCCTGCGGGCAGGCGGCTGTGGGTCGCGCGTCGGCCTAGGGGCGAGCGGGGCCTACGGGCGACGGCCTGCTGGGGCTCGCGAGAAAAAATCGAGCCGCACTAGGCGGCGAATTTCCTACGCGCGCTAAAATGGCGGGGCCGCGCTCGGGCTGCTAGCGGGCTGCAAACGGGCAGCGTGAGAGGAGAGCACACGAGGGCGCACTAGGAGAGAGGCGCACGAGGGCGCTAAAAAAAAAGGGCGCACGAGGGCACCTCTAGCGGAACGGTGGGCCCTTAGGTCTAGAACCTAAGCTCTTAATACCATGTCAGAAACAAGAAGTGATTGAACTAGGAAGAGTGGTGGTACAAGTATGAAACCCTAAAGTATTGTACCCCCTAAAGGCTAACCCACTGTAGCCTACAGAGCAATAACATATATAATGTTTGACAAGTCTCGCCCTACCTCCCTTGTTAACACTGTTAGTCGTGCTCGTCGTCCTCGTCCTCCACCTGTGTGGCGACCAAGGCCAACAAAGCGAGAGAGGACACTGAGGGGGTAAGCAAGATCGGGGCGCGTGCACATCATAGCATACATGAGTGACCCAACGAGCTCAGGATAGGGTCGCAGTTCTGAGGAGGGAGCGGGAACGGCAGGGGCAGTAAGCTGATGGTTAGCGGGAAGAGGAGTGGAAACTGGCTTAGCCCGTGACATTTCAAAGCGTTCAAGGATGGAGTGGATGTAGAAAGATTGAGAGAGAGAGATGGTGCGCGCAGTACGATCGCGACGAATCTCCATGCCAAGGTAGTGGCGAAGCTCGCCAAGATCCTTGCACAGGAGACGTGCCTGGAGGGCTAGCTTGACAGCGGCAAGGTCGGCAGAATCTTCAGCGAGGAGCACCAAGTCATCGACGTAGGCAAGAATGTAAACCCTGTGGGGGGAAGTGCGAATGAAGAGACTGGGGTCGGAAGAGGAGGTGGAGAAGCCAAGAGAGTGAAGAGTGGAGGCAAGCTTAGCATGCCACTCGCGTGGGGCCTGCTTAAGACCATACACTGGGCGCTTCAGCTCCCAGACAGTGCCTGGAGGGAAGGGGCGAGGAAAGCCAGCGGGGCGCTCAAGGAAAATGCGTTCATGAAGTTCGCCTTGGAGAAAGGCATTGGAGACATCCATAGAGTGAATCTCCCAATTCCAGCGGGCGCCTAGATCAAGAAGGAGGCGAAGAGTGGGGAGACGGGCAGTGGGGGAGTAAGTGGCAAAGTAGTCAATGCCTTCACGTTGGGTGAAGCCTTTGGCGCAGTAACGGGCTTTGAAGACAGGGAGCTCCCCAGGCAGCTGTTTGACACGAAAGACCCATTTGCCCTTCACAATGGTGGCGCCAGGGGGGGGGACAGAGTCAACGTAAGAGTGAGTCCTAGTGAATGCCTCACACTCGGCAATATTGGCAGCCATCCACTCAGTTGCATGAAAGCCAGACACTGCCTCGGAATAGGTCTGAGGGGTGGGAATAGCGGCAGTGTCAACGGAGAGAAGAGTCGGAGAATTGGAGAAGTCGCCAATGGTGACACAGAGGAGGGGTGAAACAGGATGAACAGAGAAAAGCTCCTCAAAGCGATCTTCGAGAAGATCAACGTTCTGAGAGGGAGAGAGACGAGTAAAGAGAGCAGAGTGTTGAAAATTGGACATTGCACGGGTCATGGAGCGGGTGAGACGGGGAGAGGGTGGGGGGGCAGGTGCAGAAGGGAGGGTAGCAGAAGGAGGTGATGAGGGAGGGGCCATGGGAGCAGAAGATGAAGAGGCAGGAGGAGAGATGCCAGAGATGACAGCGGAGGGGGGGGTGGAGGAGGCAGGCAGGGGAGGTGGAGCAGGGGCAAGAGGAAGGGGAGGAGGAGAGGGAGCAGCAGAGGGCAGCGGATCAAAGTCAGACCAATGGAGAGAGGGAGCAGGTGGGGTGGGAGGGGGAGTGAGGAATGGAGATTGAGTCTCATCAAAGATGACATCCTGGCTGCGAATGAGCTGCTAAGAGGAGGGAGCATAGAAAAGGTAGCCAGGACAGTCAGAGTTGATACCAATAAACGCACAAAGCTGCGTCTTGGGAGCGAGCTTCCCACCCTGACGCGCCCGATCAGCGGGATTGATGAGGACATGAGCGACACAGCCCCACACCCGAAGAGGGCGGGCAGAAGGCTGGCGGCCAGTCCAGAGCTGAAAGGGTGTAATGGAAGAGCGAAGGGGATGAGGGCGAAGGTTAGAAAGAAGAGTGGCGTGAACAAGAGCGTAGCTCCAAAGAGAGTGGGGAGCAGAAGCATGCGTAAGGAGACAGCGGGTGATCTCCGTGAGAGTGCGAATACGACGCTCGGCAACACCATTTTGTTCAGGAGAATGCGGAAGGGTGGAGGTTTGGCGAATGCCATGAGAGGAGCAGTAAGAAGAAAGAGAGTGGTTAAAGAACTCGCCACCACCATCAGAGTGGAGGCGCGCGACAGGGCGGCCAAAGCGAAGACGCGCCTGCTCAGCCCAGCGAATGATGAGGGAGGGGGCGTCAGATTTGGCACGGAGGGGATAGTCAGTGGCAAAGCGAGAATGGTCATCGACGAGAAGAAGAAAATAGCGATGACCCTGACGGGAGGCAATGGGAGAGGGACCCCAGAGGTCCATATGCACAAGATCAAGGGGTTTGGGGGAGGCAGAAGGGGAAGAAGGATGGGGAGATTGGGAGAGCTTAGCTTGAACACAAGGGGTGCATGGAGGAGCGGGAGAGGGGGGAAGGGGCGGGAGAGAGGAAGGGAGATCATGAAGCAGCTTCGAGTTGACCATGCTGCGAAGGAGAGGGAAGTTGGGGTGGCCAAGGCGATGATGGAGAAGAAGGGTAGGTTGGGTGAGAGAGCGACAGTCGCAAGAGGAGACGGGAGGGACAGAAGAAGAGGAAGTGTGGTGGACAGATGAGGGGAGGGGAACACGAAGGGTGTAGAGGCGAGTAGTAGGAGAAAGGGTGAAACGAGCGAGGTGCCGGTCGTGGTAATGAAGATCACAATAGAGTGCACCTGCGGGGAAGAGCACTCGTACACCGAGGCGTTGAAGGGCAGGAAGGGATAGGAGGTTGTGACGGCAAGAGGGAACATAAAGGCCAGTAACAGCGCCAGAGGGAGAGGCAGGACAGGGAAGAGAGGAAGTGCCTGTGCAGATCATGGTCATGGTCTCCCCAGCCCCATCAATAGAGAGGGGACGAGGAAAATTGCGAAGAACACCAGCATCACGAAAGACAGAGTCAGTAGCAGCACTGTCAAGGACAAAATCCAAGGTGCGAGGAAGTGAGAGAGCGGCAGCCGTAGGGCTGGGAGAGTGAGAAGCAGTGCTTTGAACGGATGGAACGAGAAAGCGAGGGTCCATAAGAGGAGAAGCACCAAGGATGCTATCCTGAGATGGCATGGTCACACTGAAAACAGAGGCCAGAGAGCCAAAACCAGAGGTTACAGCGGCAGAAGAGCGGCGACGCTGATGGGATAGCGGAATCCAAGAAGAGGGGTGGAGAAGAGGGGAGGTACAACGGCAAGTAGGAAGGGCGGAAGGGGAGGAAGGGGCAGCGAAGGGGGCGGAGAGTAGGGAAGGCAATGGTAGGAGAGGAGGTACGGCGGGGGAAGGGTGAGGATGGAAGCGCAGAGGAAGAGAGGTAAGAGTGAGAAGAGGCCCCATATGGGGGAGGGGATAGCAGTAAAGCAGTGTTGGAGAGAGAAAAGAAGAGGAGGAATAGGGGCGATGTAGTCAGCTGGTGAGCCGTTGAGGGGAGGAATAAGAGGAGGGGGAATAACGACGAAGTAGTCTGCTGCTGCGCCGCTGAGGGGAGACATAAGAGGAGGAGGGAAAACGGCGGGGTAGTCTGCTGCTGCGCCGCTGAGGGGAGAAATACGAGGAGGAGGGATAGGGGCGAAGGAGTCTGCTGCTGCGCCGCTGAGGGGAGAAATACGAGGAGGAGGGATAGCGACGAAGTAGTCTGCTGCTGCGCCGCTGAGGGGAGACATAAGAGGAGGAGGGAAAACGGCGGGGTAGTCTGCTGCTGCGCCGCCGAGGGGAGAAATACGAGGAGGAAGGATAGGGGCGAAGGAGTCTGCTGCTGCGCCGCTGAGGGGAGAAATACGAGGAGGAGGGATAGCGACGAAGTAGTCTGCTGCTGCGCCGCTGAGGGGAGAAATACGAGGAGGAGGGATAGCGGCGAAGTAGTCTGCTGCTGCGCCGCTGAGGGGAGAAATACAAGGAGGAGGGATAGCGGCGAAGTAGTCTGCTGCTGCGCCGCTGAGGGGAGAAATACGAGGAGGAGGAAAGGTGTGGAAGGCGACGAAATATGGACAGCTACCAGCTGCAGCAGATAGGGAGAGAAGAGAGGCGGAGGAAGAGGTGAGAGGGTGGGGGAAATAGAGGGAGAGAGAAGAGGAGGAGGAGGGTGAAGGAGCGGAGTGTGGGGAGGAAGTAGGGTCACGATCACCAAGTGGCAATCAGTAACACGCAGCCAGGTGGCAGATGCGGAGGGGAAGGAGGTGGAGGAAGGGAGGAAAGGCACGGAAGGGAGGAAGGAATGAGGAGAGGAGGAGGAGGGTGAAGAGGCGGATGGGGTGAGGGGAGAAGGAGGAGGTGGTGCAGAAACGGCAGAAGAAGGCGCACCATGGGGGGGAGGGGAAGGCGCCTGCAGGGAGGTGTGGCAGGCCGCCCACGAGAGGGTAAGGAAGGGTGGCTGGGAGGAGGGAAGGGTGGCCAAGGAGATGGAGGGCGGTGGGCAAGACGCGCGCGCGCATCGACGGCGGGGAGGCCGCGCGTCGACGGCGGGACGGCCGCGCACGTCGACGACGGGCAGGGCGCGCGACGCGGCGGTGAGTAGGGCGCGCGACGAGGTGGGGGGGGGGGGGAGGGCGGCGCGACGACGAGACAGGGCGCGCGACCAGGGGACGGGGCGCGTGACTAGGCAGGGAGACCTCGGGTGATGGATGGAAGGTTCCGTGATTGAAAAAAAAAGAAGAACTTTAAGGGTCGAAATACTAGGGAAGATAATTTTCGACTAGGTAAAAAGTGGCACGCCGGATGCCTAAGGCCTAAACCGTACTAAGAGATATAGATTGGGACAAAACGCCAAGGATTTGGCTCTAGATACCATGTTAAAACTGAGAGTGTGGTAGCCATGGCTAGGAAGAGAGAAGGTAGCGAGAGAAAAAATTGTATTAGGAAAGAAGTGTCGAGATACGAGTCTAGAAAGGAATTGGAAACCCTAATTGAACTTAGGGTGTGTTCAGTTTGTACTATAGCTACGAAATGAACCTAAATTGAACCTGGAAGCATAACTCGCTCTAAGCATGGTGGAATGATAAGAGAACACCAAAATAAAGGCCAGAGCGAGCTCTAGCCTACTCCAACAGGAACAAGGCCGGGCGCGGGGCTAGGGGCGATGGGCCTAGGGAGGTAGTCGCAGTGTAGCAGGTGGTGGGCCCAAGTAACCTGCTCTGATTTCATGTGAGAATAACAAACGAGAATGGAATGAACTATGAAACAGTTGGGTACAAGTACTAACCCTAGTTGGGTTTTACCCCTTATGGGCTACCCCACTTTAGCCTACACAAATGTATAAGCTATAATGTTCTGACAAATTCTTCAAGACTGCCTTGCCGATGTAGAGTCCACCTTTCGCGTGGTACAGCTTGAACTCTTGAGTGGTGGTGTCTGCTTCGAGATGAATTGCCTTCGCCATTAGTTGACTGACGCTGAGTAAGTTATAACTGAGTCCTTCTGCGATTGAAACCTTCGACATTTGCAGAATCAAGATGGTTTCCCGAGATTGAAGTTGAACTATCCCTGTCGTCGTGTGTGCAGGTTCTGGTTGTTGGCGACAGTGATTACGACTTCGCGTTGAAGTTGGTGTTCCTGTTGAACGAAGCGACCCGAGGAACACATGTGCTGTCCGCAACAGCTGTCCAAGAACCAGGTGTCTTTCCCGGACGGCTCGCTCTGTGCGATGGCTGCATACGTCGGGTTGGGCTCCAGTGATTCGTGGCGAGGTGTGCTCTCGTCGAGCTGTTTTTCTGGTGAGTAGTACGGTGGTGATCCGGTGATGTAGGAGTCTGTCGTTCTTGTCATGCAGCTCACGATGTTTCTTGTACCTTGTGCATGTTTTGTTGTCGATGTCGTTGAGGACTGTACTTGATTGGTGGGATGCGCCTGTGTAGAAGCCACTTGACTGCTTGAGGGCCGAAATTGACGTTGTGACGTCGTTGACCGCTGCTGATTCGGGCAGTGTATGAGAGGGTGTCCTGACGTCTTGCACAGATGGCAAAACGGTGGGACGTACTGTTGGGCTTGGTGTTTGTTCTGTCGATTGTTATTGTTGTTGTAGCGCCGTTGAGTGTGAAACGCAAACTCTGGTGCTGACGACGCCTCCGGGGACGACTCCGTACCAGCTGCTGACCGGGAAGAAGCCCGACCTCATGCTGGCGCGGGTGTGGGGCTGCATGGTGCAGTTCATGATTCCCGAGCAGCAGCGCGGTGGGAAGCTAGCGCCGAAAGCTCGCTGGGGGCTTCACCTGGGTGTGTTGTGGAAATTGGAACGAGAATGGCATGACTAAGGAATGAAAGTGATACAAATATGAAACCCTAGAATTGTGTACCCCTTGGTGTCTAACCCGCTACAGCCTACACAGGGTAGATCATATAAGTTTGACATGTGTCGCCGGAGAGCAAGGGCTGGGAGGTGCTTGACCTGATTGACAACAAGGTGTTCATGTCGGTCGAAGTGATCTTCTACGAGACGCTGTCGCTGGAGGTGTGGAAGGCGAAATATGGGCCGGCGTCGGGGCGGACGCAGGCACACCCGCCGACAGACACCTCGACGGCGACGGTTCCACTGCTCGCCGAAGTCGACGACCCTGCTGATGAGGATGTTGTGGAGGTTCTTCCACCTTCCACTATTCTTGCTCCTCCCTCCCCCGTCGCAGATCGTCCTGCGTCGACACCTGTGTCGGCCACCGGCGATGAGGGGAGCCTTGCGGCGTCACCTGTGGCGCCGGCTAGTGGCATCGCCGGCGGTCGACAAGGCACCAAGCTCGTCGACCAGGTTCTGAAGCTGTCGACGGCAAGGGAGCACCAGACGGGGGAGCCACTCAAACATGAGGCAACTGCAGGGGTGCAGTCGACAGAGGAGCAGCAGCCGGGGCGGTCGACAGGGGAGCTGTCAAAGTCAGCAGTAGGCGAGCAGCCGTTCGAAGGGTCGAAGCAGCTGGTCGATCACGAAGTCTGAGCTGCGACGCACAGGTCGAGCTCAACGGCCGCCGGAGCAGCTCAGCTTCCACGCCCGCCTTCCCCCTGCTGCCTTCACCACGGTGTACGACGAGGTCGACGACAACCTGGTGTACGACGATGCCGAGGATGATGTCGACCTGCCGGAGCTCGACCTCGACGTACATGCTGACCCCGAACACCGCTGGGACATCGCCACGATGACGGTGAAGGAGGCGCTGGGGAGCTGGAAGGGCGAGGCGGTGAAATCCGCCATGGACGAAGAGATCCGTAGCCTCATCGGCATGGGCACTTGGGAGCTGGTCGAACGCCCACACAGAGTGAACATCATGAAGAACCGGTGGGTGTTGACGACCAAGTACCGCATCGACGACACCGTCGAGCGCGAGAAGGTGAGGCTGGTCGTAAAGGGCTTCACGACGAGACGTACTCGCCGGTGAGCAGCTACGTCACGCTGGGGATCTTCCTTAGCATCGTCGCCGTCCTCGACTTCAACCTGATGCAGCTCGACATGAAGAACGCCTTCCTGCAGAGCAAGCTCGACAAGGTGCTCTACATGTACCAGCCGGACTACTTCGACGACGGGACCGGCCGGATGTGCAAGCTGCTGAAGAGCCTCTACGGGCTGAAGCAGTCGCCGCTACTATGGTACAGGGCTCTCGACGCTGTTCTGCTAGGCGCTGGCTGGAAGAAGAGCCAGGTCGACGAGGCGCTCTACTTCAAGGCCGGCGACGTCGGAGTGACCTGCTGGGTGCTGGTCTACGTCGACGACCTGCTCGCCGCCAGCAGCAGCACCGCGATGCTGAAGGAGCTGAAGGAGCTGCTGGAGGCTGCCTTCGAGCTGCGTGAGATCTCGCCGGTGGTGAAGTACCTTGGGCTGGAGGTCGTGCGCGACAGGCTGGCATGGAAGTTGTGGCAACACCAGCAGGGCTACGCTGACAAGCTGCGCAGGCGCTTCATCGACGAGGAGCAGGGCGGTCGAGTCTCGAAAACGCCGGTCTCGGTCGACGCTTACGCTGAGCTGACATTCGACGACGAGGAGGCGCAGGAGCGCGAGGAGGAGGAGTACCGACAGAAGGTCGTCTCGCTGCAGTTCGCGGCGACGACGACGAGGCCGGCCATCGTGTTTGCCTGCAGCAAGCTGGGGAGCGACCTCACGGTGTGGAGCGACCAGCATTGGCGCGAGGTCGACCGCTGCCTCGCCTACCTCGCTGACACCCGCGACACCGCCCTGGAGTTCGGCGGTGGACCAGAGTCGCTGGAGCTGATCGGCTATATGGATGCCGACGACGCGGGCGACAAGCAAACCTGGACGAGCACGGGAGGCTATGTGTTTGTCTACGGAGGGGCCGCCGTCTCCTGGTCGAGCTCGCGCATCAAGTGCACGACATTGTCGTCGATCGAGTCGGAGTAAGTGGCGGCCACGGATGCAGGCAAGGAGGGACGCCGACTTCGTTTCCTTCTTGCGGAATTCAAGCTGCTCGACGCTGGGAAGCCGACCATCCTCCGCATCGACAAGAAGTCAGCAATCACGGTCGCTGAGGGCTTGGGGCTGACGGGCAACCTCAAGCACATGGAGCGACGCTACGCCTGGCTGCAGCACATGGTGAGGCGCGGGAAGTTCGTGCTGAAGTACATCCCGAACACCGAGCAACCGGCGGACTTCCTGACGAAGGCGCTGCATTTTCCGGCTTTCAACCGGTGCTCTGTCGCCATCAGCCAAGTTCGTCTGGCCAACGTCGGCGACAGCGACGAAGAGGTGCAGCAGTAGGTGCCGTGCCCTTCTGCACGACTAGTGCGGTGATGGCGTGCTGTGTGTGGGGTGCACGCTGAGGACGAGTTTTCTCCGTGGAGTACTGCCGTGTGGGCTGGAGGCCGAAGCGTGAGCGCGGTAGGGGAGTGTTAACGGGAATGGAGTGTTGGCCCCGCCCTCGCTTGGGCAACGCCGACGACTTGGTCGGATGTACGGGAATAGCGGCCGACCGTTCACAGTGGGAGAGCTGCTCGATAGGCTTCGTCAAGCTGCAGGGGACTGCTGTGGTATTGCTGTCGACCAGGGAGCTCGACAGCTGCAACTGACTGGTCTGGGCGACGGGTGGGCCGTTGAGCAGGAGGGGCAGCTCGGCCCGGAGGTCTCCATTGACCTGCAGTCCGACTGGGAGGTCCCCGGAGCAGCTCGTCGACCTGCAGTTCGACCGGGAGGTCGATGGAGCAGTCCGTCGACCTGACAAGTGAGCAGCGGTCAACAAGGGGAGCTCGCCGACAACCGCTGACTGTTTTGGTCGACGGAAGGGGTCCGTCGACCAGGGGGTAGCTCGACGGGAGCTGTGGTCGACCAGAGGTACTTGGTGGTCGACCGGTGGGACCCGGTGGTCGACCAGAGGCAGTGGTGGTCCACCGGAAGCACCTGGTGGTACAAGGTCTAACAAGCATAAGGAATGAGTACAAGTACTAGGTCTAACCCTAAAGTGTTGTACTCAGTAGAAGCTCTCCCACTACAGCCCGCATACATACAAACACAGTTTGACACACCCCCATAGGCAAAGTGGGGGATAGCAAGAACAACCAACGGTCACAAGAACAGTCAAGCAAGAGAATAAAGCAAAGCAAAGCTCAGGGTGGATCTCAAGATCACCACGCAATTTGAGCACAAGCAAGCAACCACAAGGTCACTTCACATGGAGAGTTATAAAAGCACAACGTAACAACCTCACAAGAGCAAGCATGCAGGTTTATTTATAAATATCATAGTACAAGGCAAACTCAAGCATCCAGCATGTGAGGCAGAGTAGGCACAAGGCCTAGAGCAGTGTAGAAATACTGATGATCACCAGCCCCAAGGGCCTTGGTGAAAACATCAGCAGTGTTGGCCCGAGAGGCCACGTAAGCAAGGCGAAGCTGACCACGTTGCTGCAACTCTCGAGCAAGAGAGTAACGAAGAGCAATGTGCTTCGTATTGTGCTCCAGTCCCTGCTCCCGACATAAGGCAATCATGGCCTTGTTGTCGACGTACAGAAGTGGAGGAGAACGAGGCCGCTCACCCAAGTCAATCA